AGCCGTCACAAAGTGACCTGCCGTATCTCTTACTTTTATCGTTACAAAGTAGTCGAGTTCACCATGTAAGTGCCATGGCAGTGAGTGCGTTTGAAAAAGCTGTACAAGTCTGCTGGTGTAAACGATTTACAAACTTCCACCAGTGGAAATACTGCTGAAATGGAAGAATATCTTTTCCATTTTTTGTTGTTCCTGAAAGAGAATTGATAATACACTTCTAAAAATGAACAGGTTAGGTTAAAATGTGTATCTTAAAACAATATAATTATATTTCATTCGTAAACAGATTGAATGGTACAGTTTATGATTGTTTTCAAAAACCAGATGCAGTAGTGCAATAAAGTCATTGAAAAACGATAATAGTCATGTGTAATAACTATGCAATCAAACAAAAATTGCGGGAACGCGCGCCAAATATAAGCGTTATAGGATATTCGCTTGATTAAAAATAGGTGATTTTTTTCTACTGTAAAATAATTTTATGCTGTGAATGTGAGAATTAGTATACTAGTATGATATTTGTTTAGAATCATAACTAAATATATGGAACGAGCTGAATGCTCACCTGAGGCTCGCATAATTTAGATTAATGCAACATGTTCAATAAATTCAGTATTTGTCATACACTTATTTCAATTTCTCTCTATATATACGTAATATGTTGAAACAAGAAGAAGAGGTTACAAACATGCATCCTTTTGACAGAAAAATATTTGACCAAATGAAATAACAATTTACACACTGACCAACAGCTACTTCGTATCTCAAGGCATAAGGGTCTCCGTGATCTGTAAATGCATCTTTGTTCCATTTAGCGATCAGAAAAGTATCGCTGTCGGTGTGCTCAACAGAAAGACTGATTTCTCCAGTAAACTCTGGCTTTGATGAGTCATAAACAAATGGTCCAATTGTCTAAAGTATGTTTAAAATATATATTTGAATGTATGCAACAATAACTTTTATTATGAATGTGTGAACTATTTATCACTGCTATCTATATTATATGCATCATGAGTAAAAATTGATTGTTAGCAAAATGTTGGTCAATATTTAGATACAACAGAGCTTATATTTTTGTTGTACGTTATAATTTGTTTTGCAAATAAAGGAAAATGAGGGTTAAATAGTTAATTTTCGAAATAATACCTTTATGTCTGTGACGGTGATTTTGTGTAATGGCTTTTATCATACATAAAATTGTTCCCCGTCAAAAATATCTGGCTGAAATAAGCGTATATGCTGATGGATGGTGAGAAGAAGTAAAGTCCAAAACATCTGGAACTTTGACTTCTCAGATGCTATCCTACTTCATAATCTATAAACACTACAGCTCCAAATGTAACATTCCATGATATATCGATCTAAATAAAAAGAAATCATTAAAACTAAAACAAGCTTTACAGGCAATATATCATGCATAATATAAGCAATCGTAATTTAATTTACAAAGAATTGTACTCAAGGCTCAAGATTGTGAACATGTATAGGACTATATGTGACATGTAATTTCATATGGCAATTAAACGATAGATTGTCTAAATTTTGATCTTTTTTAAAGAGCTTAACCTTATAAGAGCCTTCAAGATCATTCAAAAAAACGGCTAAATTGAAAATGTAACATGCGCTTTTTAATTAGCATGTTAAATTAACGCTATAAAGCTTTTTGTAAAAATTCAAATTGAATATAAATCTTTTTATTACTTTTTATTTCATGTCTACACTGGATATTTATGACATATAAAGTATTTTATGTTAAATATCCTAACTTCTGTAAAAGCGTTAAGTACATATACCCTTGAATCAGATGTTATTAGGAAATTAAGTTCTGAATGGACACCATGAAAGATTGTCACATTCCTCATCCAAAACAGTTCTACTCAAGCTTCCTTTTAGAACGTCTTTTATGTGGGTACAATTTTATTTTAGAGTCCGGAACAGTTGTCTGAAAGATCTCTGTAAAATTAAATCAAAATAATTAAAATTGTTCCAAGAATTATTATTCAAATGATTCAAAAGCAATAAAACAAATCATATTAATTTATTAGAAAATGTGAAATTATTATTTGAAAAGTAAACACAGAATTTTGCCAAAGGGCGGATGATCATGTTCAATGTTACATTTTTTTGCCTTTTCATGGTCCCCAAAGGAATTTGTGTGTGTAACTCAAGAAAACATTTGATGGAACCAAAAACCCAAACAGAATTGTTAAACGGGATTCGAGGGTAATGAAATAAATAAATAAATAAATAAATAAATAAATAACAGCGTCAATATTTTAAGTTCTTCCTTTGTAGTTTTAAGAGGTATTCTGATCACCCGTAGGGAAAATGCAAAATGCGAAATAAATTTTTATTGAAAATGCAACAACAAATCGTGCTAGTACAATATTAGATTTCTCAAAATTAGTACATTCATCGTTAATCAGAAAAACCTAACTGCAAGTTTTAGTTGGATTATCAACCGTTCTCCAATTCACGGTTTCTATATAATACATAAACTGTATCAGTAAGATCACTCTTAATAAAGTCCGCTTGCCGTTTACTGCATCATGAAGTACAACTTTCTGACACTATTGCCGCGTAAGATGTCTATCGTAACTCCGTCAGAACAAAAAAGGTTTTACTATGTCCAAGTGCGTGATTATATGCCATGACTGTGAGAAAATATTTGCCAGGTTTTTGGTGCTGTAAACTCAAGCTTACTTGTCGTTACGTCCCCAATTAACCTGAATGAAAAGTTGATATGTTTGCACCAATCCTTGCTGTTCGTATAATGGACCTTTTTCACTTACAGAAGAAACATACTTAGTTCTAATTATTTCATTGACGACCACAACGGTTATATTATAGGCATATTATCCCTTAAATGCAATGATGAATGATTTTTGGTGTAGAATTCTAAGCTAAATCTTACACTTTTTAAATCAATGTTTAAATATAACCAAGCTGTTGGAATTGGAATCTTTTGATGAGAAATCTAAAAAAACGTTTAGATCCTAGAGGCATGGTTACTGTTTAAATATGCAAAAGATGAGTGATGCAAAACTCTTATAAAAATATACACTGTAGTTCTTAACCTACCTTTGAATGTTATATTCAAGGCTCATTTTCATGTAAACATCGCTGCCGAAAGCCCAAATGTATATAACCACACTCCACTTTCTTTGTTCAAAAAAGTCATCCCAATAACTTCAACTTTAGTGACTGCTGAAAGTCAACTTCGGGATCTCCAGGTATACCAATCGTGCTACTCTAGCCCTTCGTGTGTGGCGATGTGTCGATCGTTATCTAAAAGAATGGACACATAGTTTATTTTGCACTTATGAATTTATACACTATTAAAATGTAGAACAAAAACAAAACAAAAATTAATACACAGAATTGTATTCATTATATTTAAAGAAACATTTTGTAAGGGAGAAATAGTATATTATATATTTATAATATTAACAAAATCACGCAATGACAGAACTACAGTCATATATTTATTTCGTATTAAGATAAAAGATGTTATGGTCCAAATTTGATCATATAAGCATAAAAACAGAAAATATACCCAGCATTAAATTATTAATTCGAATATATATTGCGATTCGTAACCTGATTGAGTTAAAAACGTTACAGCGCTTTTTATGTTTAGGGTCATTTTCACAATTAAAATGATTATATTCTGAAAAATATTCTCAGTCCCGTCATGTCAAAATTCCTCAGTGGAGTCTCTTAAATTCATCTTAAGTCGTAAAACGTGGGTATGTCAATACCTTCTTATGTTTGTGGTTTCTAGTCCAGCAGCTGTTAGACTGTTTACCTCGATATAATAGTCATAATCATGATCACCTTTTCTTTACCAAAGTTTAACTCCATTACTACCATTAGAAACTGGTGGTTGGATTCTGATAATGTCTATGAAAAACATCCATTGTACGGAGAAACAGTTAGCAGTTTGGTCTCGAGATACAAAAACACGTATTTTTTGATGCATTCCTTTAAATCCTGGAAAAAAAAAACCAGGACTTATATGCTTAAAGAACAAAATTACCATTATAGAAAATAATTCACGTTTAGTGCAAGGGCATACATTAACAAAAGAAAAAATATCAACTTTGTATTTTCATCAGTCAGCATCTGTTTTTTAAGACAAAATATAGTACAAATGTAGTGCACATGTTTGTGTAAATCACCTTGTTAATGTAACGTTGATATTTTTACTTGTAATTATTCCTTACCTTAGTTTCGCCCTGCGGAGGTTCGGGACAGACTGACCATGTTTACAATTATACTTTGTGAAGTTATCAAACAACTCCATTGAAACCTGATGAATTACCACTATGTAGTCTTAACGCTTCCCATTTCAATACTTAAAATTAAATTAAATAAAACGTTAGCGAATAGAAATTTGATAGGTAGAGGTATCCCCTTCAAATAACATCAAAATATTGCGTATTCTGGCTTAAATTGTTTTGATCCGTTATGTTAAATGTTCTTTTTCTTTTATAAACTACTAGGGGATATAAACCATCTTCCATGTTTGTTCCACGATGACTTATTAAATTAAAATTCTTAACCGACAAAAAACAGTAAAATAAAGATACTTCAACGGTGGTTCCATTATTTGTATATTATATAAACAATATTATGAAGTAAGAAATATATAAATGTACGTAAAGTTCTTTCAATTCCAATACACTTGTGAACACTTATGTTTACTAAGTCACCTTCGTCAACCATAGATTACGGATAATTGGTGGTGAAAGGTCTACCATGACTGTTACATTGTCTTCAGCATATTCCTTACATAATGTCATATGCTCGTACTGTGTAGGTTAGTTTCTTGCCGTCTACTAGATCTTTCATTGCCCGTTAAACCATCTTTGAGAGTGAAAAATACAAACTGGGACAGGCTGGAAATTGGTATTTGTAGAGTTTCTCTTTGAAATTCAATTTGGACGGGCAATTTCATACCTTACCACTTTCCTTAAACACAATGTACAGTTTAAAAATAAATTTGCAAAGATGATTATTTATTATAATAATATATAAGTAATAAAAAATTGTTAATGAGAACTCTTGAGAATGCATTTTACATGCATTTTGTAAGACAATATAAACCTTGTAATTATGATCGTATATGTAATTTGAAACTATTTAAAGTATTCTAGAGCGTAACAATAATTAATGAATACATACACGCAAATAAATAACCATAATACAAACAAAAGACCTCTTGAAAAACGGACACTTCACAAATAAATAAATAAATAAATAAATAAATAAATAAATAAATAAATAAATAAAATAAAAACAACAATAAATCGATAAATATTGATTGAACTTTGCAATGTCGGTACATATACTGTTCTAGTAAATGCCAGTATTTGAACAATCATTTATGGGACAGAAAGATGGTAGGATGAAGAAATCGTAATGACATAGCCAGTCACCTTCAATGTTATCTATTTTTTCAACAGTCCTCAAGGATTTACCATCGCGGTCATCAAGGGATCTTAAAATTTTATTGTCTGCCACAGCATTCAGCCATCCATTGATCGAATGTCTGACATTCCTAAACCTGCCTGGCCAAACGACAGAAATGAATTCATGGAAATGGTTTATCCAGCCGTATTTATTAGCCTGTAGTACTTTCAGTGGCGATCCGTAAGTTTCAACTAAAGAGACGTTGTCAAATAAAAATTCGTCGTGCAGACTTATTATTTCCAGCGCAATCCAATACAAACATTTCAACAAGAAATGCTGGTCTCTGACATAGGTTAAATTAAGACGATATAAATCGTAACTGACTGAAATACTGATTGTCACGATACTATTAATATGATAATTAATAACTAAGATGGATTATACTAAATCGATTAAGATTGATGACTCAACGAATCGCATATGTATCATATAGAGACAATAGATATTCTCAAGAATCTCTTCATTCACACTCATATTGGGCTAAGTTATAAAAATAATGATCTAATTTTGAATAGAAAACAGTAAGACAAATCATGAAAGAGGGTTTTTCATTTTTATAAAACATAATGTTCAAATTATCATATTTCCAATAGTGATATTCCTTTACGAAGAATACATTAATAACAACTAAAAAAAGATAAGAAATGACAAATTTACTTAAAGTTTAACTTTACCTGTGGTGATTTGACAGTTGTCTGAGACACTAAATATTTGTGTTTAAGGGGACTGGAATTTTCTGAATACAAATACCAAACGTACAGGTCAAACGTATCAATGCCTGAAAGATCATCAGTCCATCCATCCCACTGTACAGATACATGTGACTGAAATTTTATCTTTTATATTAACCATATTAGATTTAAGTTATAATTTAAAGTATTTAATCACGCCTGAAAATTTTCGTTACCAAAGTCTTCATCCAACTCTTTGAATTTTTATCAATTGTATGATTTGATTTTCACGTAAATATATTACAATGAAAACTCTATTAAAAAGGACTCATTTATTTCAAGAAATAACAAGTTTTTTTCTCAATAAGCAAACATGTTCAGGGTGAAGTGACATCAACTTTGAATTGAAATAACAAAATTAATAAAATGGTACCTCCGTAACAAAATCTTCCGTCTGTAAAGCATCTTTTACACAGCCTTTGTCATTTGTCTCAAAACAATGGTGGGGTGGAAACATATCAAATCTGATTTCAAGCGTTTCAGTTGTCGTTATTCCCCGAATTTGGTAAGTGTTATTAAAGTAGTGATAAAGACGTGATCTATCTTCATAAAGGATTTCTCCGCCATTTTTAGCAGATACCGTAAACTGTATCCTGGAAATTATAATAGTAGCTATACAAGTTGCCTTTGTCTCGAAGGCTACCTCAGGTCAATATTCTATAGAAAAGTCGTGACAAATTTTGGAGAGAGAAAATGACTCCATTAAAACAATATTGACTTGTATAATTTTGATCCAAACCAAAGCGATCGCTAAGTATTCATATACCGCTGCAAGTGGCGAGGTTAGTTAACACTTTTTGTTACCTTGTAATCTGTGCTGCTAATGTTGTACAGTAGAGACAGAACACTGACGTTCGCAGTGACCTGTCACCAACAATTAATTTTTGAGGTTGAGTCATGGCAAGTTTTATCGATATGACGTAAAATTGTGTATCGGAATTCAACTTTGACATTTCCTGACCTTAATTTAAAAGAAATGACTACATGGTCATTATTCAATTAGGCCACTTTGTTACATTACACTCGAAATTTACCTGGGTATGGATTAAAATAACACGAGGATCATAGTATTTCACATTTCATTACACAAAGCTTGTCAGTATAACTTACTGTCTTTACTTAAGATAACATTGAATAGAAATTCATTAAGGACATATTTTGAATTTGCAAAATCAAATGTGTTTACAAAATGTTCAGGCGGGATTGATGTTATCAACTCAATTAAGGTTAATGTGAAACAAAATATCATCATATGATAAATCTACGTTAATGATGGTAATTTTATTACGATTTACTTTGTAAGTTTAGCTTTATAAAATTACTTTGAGCTTATCGGATAACGATTTGCTTGAAAAATTACATTTTAAGTTTCATATTATCATTAACTGAATTTCATGCATTATTGACAATAATTTATTCTTATTGATTTTGAATCAATATACTGATAACGAGTTGACAAATGAAATGGTGCGGTTAATGTTTGTCTGACGTTTGCTGAATTTTATCATAAATCCGGATTATTTTTAAGATTAATACAAACAAACAAGTATAGCGCACTGAAAGATAAAACAGATGTTTTGTTACTTATCCGTTGTTAATCAAGCCAGTAACTATTTTACTTCGCTAAATTGTAATGATCAAGCAATTCTGTAATCGGACTTCAAAGAAGTTTGTAAACTATGTAATACCAAACATTTAAGTAATTGCCGTTTATTATGCCGACAGTAATCTTAAAGCATTTGAACATAAAAACGAACTTATTATTTTTGAATATTTAAGCTGAGCAGAAATATCTAAAAAAAAAAAAAAAAAAAAAAAAAAAAAAAAAAAAACCAAAAAAACAACAAACAAACATATAAAGCTATACGATAGATGGATTAAAATTGTTTTACTTTGAAAAAAGCCATTGGCTTATCACAGATAAACATGAAAAAGATTTTGAATGTCTTAATTTATGATAGTTAAAATTACAAGTATTACTGCGCTTAATACCTATCTGAATGCATAAAACCTCCATGAAATATGTCTTGCCAATCATTTATACTAGTTATCGACGATTGGGAATCCAATGAACATAGTTCCGGAAACTTAGTGCATTCTGATGCATCTAGCCTCCATTTAGCTGTAGCAGAACCTGTTAAATAAAAGAGAGGCACGTAAAATATTAGAATAAAGTGTAAGCAGGAAAGAAAGATTCCCTCCATAAAATGTTTCGAGTACAAATTCCAGTATAGAAACACCCATATTTAAGATTATACAAAGAAGAGTTTTACACTGGAGTTTCTTTTGATTGCGGTTGACAGTGTTTTGATTTTAGATGTAGTTTATCCAATTCGAAAACAAGAAGCAATAATAATTGATTATGTATAGTATGTGCATACGTTCAATCTCTGATTTGTATTATTGAATCCATAGTTAAGATAGATATTATGTTTTAATATTTATGTTTTTGCTATTCCAGCCGAATATGGTATTGATTTTAATAGTATCATAGTTGTACAAAATAGATACTTTTGATCAGGCGTTTAAGCGCAGTATGATCATATAAGAAAAGCAATATAAAATATGTTAGCTACAGTTTCGCAATTTGCTCAAAATATGCATTACCTCTCACCAACGTCAAATGAATTGACATGTCCTTTATTCCAAATAAATAATTCTTTATGTAATTCGGAATAGCCGATGGATCAAAGTGTTTGATGGCATAATTTGACGAGGCATTTATCACTATGTCAGACCAAAACCCATCATTTGTCCACTTTACCGGAGAAGACGGAATTCTTTTTTCAACAAAAACAGCCGGTTTATTAGAGCCTCTCAAAGTCAAAACTTGTTTTAATATTTCTGGAGCCTGCTTTGATGTAGCTGGAACATATTTTAAAAAGTTGATGGATATATTATGAATATATATCTTTTGCAAACTGGTTACATTACTTTGATACAGCAAAAGCGCAACATACTGTTAAAAATCCTAGATCTTATGTCTTTCTTAGCAAAACAGATCAGATGCTGGCAATGTGGTTATTAAGTCGACTTGTTTAAATTAATATGATATATATTAATTAAACACACTTTCTGGCTTAGCATGTACTAATATAGTTTATCTGTAATACCATTTAAACATAATATTTCCATTCATTTATATAAGAATATATATTTTGTTATTGTTAAGAACATAGATATCAGTCTTTATTATATTTATTTTTAAAGTACTAGACTAAATGTCTGATACGAAACGTATTTGGTAAGTTTACTTTGAGAAATTGACAGAGAACTTGTTAAAATGCTATGCATTAAGACAATGTAACATTTGCTCATTGTGTTTGGCCTGTATCCTGTATTGAATCAAATAACTTCAATTGTTGTTCTAAGTTCAAATAATATTACACATATACCTTCTGCACAATCTGAACCAGTGAAGCCTTCAGTGCAATTGCAATTGTCTAAATGCATATAACCTGTACATTTCCCCGGAAAGCATCGAGCACCTGGCACCCAAGAACACGCTTCTGTTAAATGAAAATTGCTTTTGCATTTAATTATAACATTTGTCACCCTGTTTTATGTTAAGAGATTATGTTTTGACGTTAGAGATGAAATAAATCTTTTATTTCATTGACAACATCTTCAATATGTCTTTTTCATATGTTCACGCCCCTTGTACCGTCTTCAACAGAACATGAGTATTTTGATGCCAAAGTAAAAGATTACGTGTGCTCTAAACGAGTAATGAATGGGTACCCTAAATAAAATGTTATTTTAAAAAGGGTAAGAGGTCTAAAATACAATAAAATGGCATCTATTATGGACCTTTACGCTAGCCTTTACCTTTTATTTATCAGACATTCATGATTACTGGATAAATTTCAAATTGTGGTTTCATGTTCTGTTAAAACATAGCCTTTTTTAAATCAACAGAATAAATTGGCGATGAAAAGCGAATTATTAAAATTATTATGAAATATGATTCACGAATGAGAATAATACTACAGCAACTGTGACATTGTTGTCGCAGCGGAAACATCAATTTACAAAATGCAAAATTATTTTTAAGTGCAAACTGTCTTCTTTACATGCCAAAATCTATTATCGAAATCCTTTAAAAGGACTCCATGTCGGGTTTTTGACAATACGGGACAGGAAATCATTTTTGGACATTTCCCCTGGTTTTAACGTTACTGGAATTTTAGTCGCCGTAAATTCATAAGTCAAATAAATAATAATGGTTGTTACTTAAAACATATGCTACAAGTGTAAGTAAAAGCAATTTTACTTCGACAGCGCGTATTATCTGGCTTTGATGTGTAAATATTAAACCCAGGTTTTTCTGGGACGTACTCTCCCTCGCAATATTTGCATATCACATGTGTTGGTGAATTACACGATTGATGTTTGCAATGGTCTGGTTTTCGACACTCTGAAATATTATTTATAATTGTTAAAAAGATAAATTTTAACCTCAAAGAAAGACGTTAAAAATAACTGACGTTTTTCAGTTTATTCTTTATAGTGTCTAGAAATATGATTTTCATTTACTGAATTAACTTCCGTAAAATTAATAAAAATTCTAAAAACTGAGAAATATGATACTAAAAGACACAAATAAAACAAAAATAAGATGTTTAAACGAAATTATAGAACAACATGCATATTCAAATTCCTGTGAAAATTAAGAAGATAAATATAATATATTATTTCGAAGTAAATGTGAAGTTTTATAATTTCAAATAATATTGAACATTGCTTCAATTAACAGACTTTAAGATATGATCACAATGAAGAAGTTTTAAATAATATATATATTTTTTGTCGTTAAATAAACATATTCTATCTATGCTAGATGTATTCGTTTGAATAAGATACACTCTTTTATTGTAAGTTAATTAATTCTCAGAACTACTCAAGTTTTGTAACAGAGATTATCCAAAAATAAAACAAAAAAAAGTAAAGATTGAAATAACTGTTGTAAGTTTAACTATCACATTCTACCTTTGCAATAGCCACCATGTTCCGTTACAGGATAGTACCCATCATTGCAAAATTTGCACACAGAAGGCGCAGTACAAATTCCACCGCTGTCCCTTTCAATATAGCCTGACCTGTGTTCAACATGCCCAATATTGCGGACGTTGCATGGTGAACCAAAATGTCCGTAGCGGCATAAGGCTTAAAGAAACGAAAGTGGAATGAGATAAAGTAAGAATATATATAAAACTTTTTAATATGCTTTTAAAGAAGATAACATTGTTATGTAAAAAAGATATTGAAATAATGCGATTTGTAATATCAAGTAATAACCATATAGTTTCATTAAAATGAAGAACCTGATAGAATTTATTTATTCATGTTCCAGAAATATCTTCTGCATTTTGTCTTATAACAAAAACAACTCATTATCGCATAGTATGAATAGTAGTTACTTTTTGTAATGCATGTTATTTGCTTAATCATTATAGGTATATCATTTAATTATTATACAAGAAAATGCTTGTGGCCAGTCATTTAAGATAAATGAAATTGAACATTTTTCCTTTTAATCTTAGAAATTTTGTCAACGTTAAGATATGAAATAAAAAATAAATGAGAAAACATCCTCTGTATCAGATCATTCATTATTTTATATATCAAGAAAATAATTATACATGACGTTTTTGTTTGTTGCGTTGAATTTAGATGCATGACATAAAGTATACTCATTATGTTTTTTTACTTGTAATTCTTCTACTTTGTTTTTCAACGTTTACCAAGAGCTGGCTATTTGCATGATCTAACCAATATAATATAACTAATATATATTAGTAATACCAATATAACTGGTAGTTCATGTAGTTCATAAACTGAAATAGTTCATTGACAGTATCAATGAATGTTTTATCAAATTCCGCCTGATTAAAAGACAAGCTATAAAGAATTTCGATAATTTTCCTTTGTGTTTACCTGACTTGTTATCTCTTGAATAATATTTGTGTAAATATTGAACATATGAACATTTTAACATTATTTCAAGAAACTAAGGGTTTCAATGCTTTAAAATATATATAACTTTAAAATATGTTTTAATTTTGCAAATTCAGGTGCATACATTTGTAATCTTAAACTAAAGAGTTACACTGCCCTCCGAATTGACTTGGCCGATGCTAATCTAAACATTCAGATAGAAATCAAACACAATTGTATCGGGTCTTCATCAGACATATACTTTAACCTCTTTTTCAGAAAAGCATTAAACCTTTTAACTTTGGCATATACTTTTAACAGTATGTCTCAGAACAGAAGTCGCTTAAAAGCTATAACAATAATAACGAATTACATTTGATTACAAGAAAAGATACACATACGTCTTTTGCAGCCGTAGGGAAGTTTATTGACTGGATTCTTGGGTCCAATATCATCTCCATAATATCCATCACAACAACGATCGTGTTCTGTGTTTCTTAATTCAGAATAAATGAACATTTTAAAACGTTCGTTGATGTGCTAGAACAATAAGGTAAATGAAACAGAAACGAAACTACGAGGATTGATCAAAAAGTTCATGGCCCGATGTACTTGCGTAGTCAGAGAACCCATCTAATGGTCTTACTTTTCAATATAATCGCCCTTTACATCAATGCACGTTGCCCACCTGTGCTCCAACTTGTTTAATCCTTCAAAATAGAACTCTCTATTTTGGTCCTCAAAGAACTTATTGACCACCTAAATGACACCTTCATTGCTTCCAAAACGTCTACCACGAAGCTTGGTTTTCAGTTTCGGAAACAGGTAGAAGTCAGAGGGGGGCAAGTACGAATAATATGGGATATGGGGAAGAATTTCAAAACCAAAGTCATTTGCAACAGCCATCGCAACTTGAGATGTGTGAGCTTGCGCATTGTCGTGCAGGAACAGAACGCATTGAGTCAGTTTGACCCCCCTTTTACTCGCAATTTCATGACACAAACGTCTCAATTCGTCTGCATAGTACGTACCGTATATGGTACGACCTTGCTCAAGATCAATCATGATTATCCCCTGACTATCCCATAATATTGAAGCCACCATCTTCCCTGCTGATGGTACCCTTTTGAATTTCTTCGGAGGGGGTGAGCCAGGGTGCTTCAACTGCATGCTCTGTTTTTTGGATACTGGATTGAAGTGATGAACCCATGTACCATCCTGAGTTACGATCCGGTAGATAAAATCAGGTTCATCCTCGTAGCGAGACAAAAGATATATTGAAATTTTAACCTGGTCCGTTTCTGGTCGTCAGTCAACTGTCTGGGGACCCATCTGGCGGAATCCTTTGACATGCCATATACATCAGTCAGAATTGCATGAACTGAACCAAAGCTTTTACCCACTTCCCTAGCAATGCTTCGCAGGTCTCGCCTTCTGTCGCAGATGACCAGATCGTGCACAGCTTCGGCAGTTTCATCTTTGGTGGCCAGGCCGCTCACCATCTCCAATCTCCATGTCCCTCTTAAATTCTGCAGCCCATTTTTTTGACATTGCTATAGGAAGGGGACTCCTTCCCAAATGTATCCATGAAGTTTTCATGGATTTCCTTGGGGACATCCTTTTCTTACAGACGTACTTAATGACAGCTCTGATTTCAACTTTCTCCTTTTGGTCTAAATGACACACCCCTCTACTAATCAAAGTGTGTTTTATGATACTTACTCTGTGTAAAACCGCGTGTTACTCGGTCAGTAATCTTCAATCAGATATCGGTATCGACGTATCGTGTGTGACTGTCAGTGTAGTGGCTAGAAGTATATCGGGCCGAGAACTTTTTGATCATACCTCGTACATGTATAAATACAATCATGACTATTATACAATTTGTACAAATTTATGAATAAAACGCTGTCAAAATTACATAGTCTAGCCCGGTTATGAAGCATTTTGTTATAAACTGTAATACATTCAAACCATACTCACACTTTTCTGCAACTACCCCATCCAAACAAACCACCGCATGTTTTCCTTGTAGTGTTATACTTTGCAATGCATGGCTCGATATCATACGAATAACTAAAATAAAACAGTTCTTTCTCATATTCTTTAATTGCTTAATAGTCATTTGTTAACCATCGAAATATCTAATATGGTGGCACTGCGATGAATGTAATAGGAAAACATGATAAAACAAATATATGTTTGTGCCAACGTAAACGTGATTTGCCGTAAATTGTTATGCTTTTTGTAAGGTGATACTCGTATATCGGTAAAAGTGTACATAGCGAGTTTTCATCAAAGTCTTATGATATGATTACTATACGAGTACTTCCTCTGATATACATATTTTATTATTTTCCCATTCTACTTAATGCCAATTTTTCAGTGTATCAACTTCCAGTTTACTGATAATGATTGTAAATCATTATATTTTGTGACAAAACCATATGCTTAGGTAGCCTGCTATGCTATGCTCGACGTAATCATTCGACTATATAATTCATACATTTATACGTTTTCGTTAGATACAATTTGTTTAATATAAACACTTTTTAGTTTCGAAACGTCGTCTTCATCAGAAATTGACGTTTATAAAGTAACGAATGGCGTAACGTCCGTTGTGCTTTATCTTTCTCGAAAGAACATAAGACCTTTTCAAATCATTAACAAACTTTAAAGCAAGTAAACGTTCAGCGTATAAAGAACATATTGATAATCGTATTAATTCAGCGTCACGAGATTTTGTAAGATATTGTTATTCAATTGTCCTGTTTTTAAGTACATTATGATAATCATTTGTTTTCCTAATGTTTTCCTTTTTTGGTAAAAAATATTGAATGTCTAAGACTAATGTGGAAAAAAGGATCAGTACGAAAGGTAGTTTGTTAATGTTCAATTCTTGACAAATATCAGTCTGAATGTTTAGAGTCTTTTTCTCGTCATTCTTTGATACAATTGTATTTTATTAAAAATATCATACTATTGCTTTATAACAAGTTTTAAATTGTTTTTAAGTCATAAAGTTATTATTACTAAAAAATATATTTTACCTGAAACTAAATAGAATGGTTGAAAAGAAGAATCTTAGCACAGTAGGTCCCATATTTGATAAAGAGTTGTATGAAAAGAGCACCCAAGTTTCAAGTGTAGCGATTACATTTTATTGTCAATGTATCGTTACGCTGTTGATACCTATCAGCTGTATAAATAATAAAATTGATTTGATAATAACATCTGACCTATACACCGTAGGGAACGTGTTACAGTATCGCGTTTTTCGGTTACAGTATAGAATTTTCAAGATGGAGGATTATTTATGGGAAGAGAGGTAGGTGATTTTTATTCAGGTCCATACTACTAGTAGTGTAGTTTCTAAAAGATGTTTATGTGCTTTGCTTGTAAGGAACAAAATCCGGTATCTAGTCATATATTTCTTCCGACCCTGCACCGCAGATTTATCTCGATATGGTCTCCTAAATGTGCAGATTTGACGGTTTAAAAATTTGAATCGAGAGACCAACGCATTTTGATCCCATTCCGACATTTTTTAAGCATGCCTAGATGAAGTAAATCTACAAAACGTTAGTCCTTTATGTTTAAAAATGTTTATAAAAGTAAATGACCAGTTGAACCTATTTTCCTGTTGGTAAACTGCGCTTGAAAAAATAAACAATGTTACAGTTTAGAGCGAGGTTAATTTTGAATGGTTACAGCATAGACCTAGCGACTTTGATCCAATTTTGTTACAGTTTATACCCAGATTTCGGTTACAGTTTAGATACTTGCCAAATTTCAAACAAAGTTCGTGTATCCATTATTTTTATGAAATAACTCATACCTTTCTATTTAAAACATTCTTGAAAGGTTGTATTACTTTTTTTCAGCAGAAAAGTTATAGTTTGCTATTTTTCTTACTTTAAGTTTCAGATTGAGACTTTTTGCAGAATAAGTAATGTCCTAAGTAAGGACTGTTTTCACGACAACAACAGTAACTTTTATCGAATTGTAATGAGAGAAGAAAGATTATTGCTTGATTTCATTACACATTATAATAATGCCTATTAGTAATACAATAGAGAAAAAAGAATCCTTAACAGAAGTCCAACATGGAAAACATGAAAATGTTGCAGGCTCAGTTTGACTTAACCTGTTCATGGACGGTAGTGGTAACTGCAAGCTACCGTTCACGCCTCCTAGCACCGGCTTCAGCAGAATTCACATTAAACATGAACTGGTACACTTCAGAGTGTTTAACATCTGTGGATGTGTTCATATGGCGGTTATCATGGAACTATCAATGTGACACGTTATTGCTATTCTATGAAAAGCGGCATATTACCCCCCAGGTTAAAAATTGCGTGTGCCATAAACGAGAATTCAATGAGTGAAACTAAATAAAATGAAATTTTGAGAGGGGGTCGGAGGTTATGAAGCCTGCATACCATAGATAAGCTGTCAAAAGACACAATTAACAATCAGGCAATTCCCTAAGAATGATTAAAAAGTATTTAAGTGAGCAATACTGCAACCTTAAATTCTATTTTAAGTTGGAATTTCCATCTACCATAATGTATTTTGTAAGTATTTAAAAGGGTTTATGAACATTTTCAATTTTGTTGTATTAAAATTTCTTTAGGGATTCTGTTTAACTCTATTTTGTTACGTTTGGCTTTTTTGGATTTTAAGTTTCAACGATACTGAGGTCATGTGAAAACATTCCTGCTTTAGTGTAAAGAAAGACCCCAGATACCCTTTGTGAAACATTTCAGATAGAACCACCGACCTTCCGTAAATTAGCTTGATAGATTCCTCACATACAAAGAATCCAAAGTTATGATTGGATTTCAACTACAGCAGTAAATGAAAGATGATTTGAAGTCGACGGCCTGATCCCGACTCTGCCACTATTATGTAACACCATCAGGCTCACTAGAGAAGATATTGTAATTGTCTGACCTTAATTTATACTCTATAACTTTCAATATTATTTTCTTTTTCAGAAACATGAAAACTTTGAAACTTACTTTTACATTTATTTCCTCCAATATTTGAAGAGCTGAACAAACAATAACAGCAATTACATACAATGTACATGATGTAACAATATAAATATTCGTGACATTTAAATATGTGAAAAGAATTTATATTGCATACTTGTGAGTGACTGTAAAGCTTGTTAGAGTGCGAGTCCTAGACGAAACGAAACTCTAGAAACTTCTCTCTGGTAAATGAATGATATATAGTTCACTTGCCTATTATTCAAAAAGTTAGACAAGTTATCTGAATATAAGTGACAAAAAACTGTAATTATCAAAAAAAATAAATTATTATATGTTTAGCGAACAGTCACTCGACAGACGATCATGATCATGATTTGATTTGAATGCTTTTGGTTCGAGATGAGAAGTCTTTAAACATTGCCTTTTTTTCAAAATCTATGTTTTGGGCTTTCGTATACCCGATTGCAACCGAAACCATTTGAACAACTTAATTGGTAGAAAGTCATGTAAATTTCATCACATTAAGTCAAGTAGTTATACTGAGTGGATGAGATTGCACACACATGTGTACGACAGACGGACGAATAGCCATCGTGCCAATAAGCTCACAGAGATTTAAAAGTCTATGTAACATTCATACATTTTACCTAGCATAATTATATAGAAAATATCAAAGTCTAAACTGTAACCGAAATCTGGGTATAAACTGTAACGAAATCGGATACAAACCGCTAGGTCTATGCTGTAACCCTGCACAAATTACCTCGCTCTATACTGTAACATTGTTTATTTTTTCAAACGCATTTTACCAACAGGAAAATAGGTTCAACTGGTCATTTACTTTTATAAACGTTTCCTAACATAAAGGACTAACGTTTTGCAAATTTACTTTTTCTAGGCATGCATAAATAATGTCGAAATTGCAGAAAAATGCGTTGGTCTCTCGATTCAAATTTTCAAACTGTCAAATCTGCAAATTTATGAGACAATATAGCGATAAATCTGCGGTGCAGGGTCTGAAGAAATATATGACTAGATACCGGATTCTGTTCCTTACAAGCAAAGCACAAAAACATCTTTTAGAAACTAAACTACTTGTAGTATGGACCGGAATAAAAATCACCTACCTCTCTTTCCAACAAATAATCCTCCATCTTGAAAATTCTATACTGTAACCGAAAAACGCGATACTGTTACACGTTCCCTACGGTGCTATAGTAAGACATCACATTTACTTCCTGACGGTAGATTATTCAATATAAGCAATACGACATCGGAAGATGTGACAACACATTGGTAAGTTTTAATTTTATTTACTCTGTTTGGATTTTTTCAAATATTGATATTATAACTGTTTTCTTGTCACGTAACATACATGAGAATAATTAAGATTTAGTTAGTTATTGAATATACGAGACTATTAGATATGGTTACAACCATACACATCATCTTCATAATGTATTGCAATCTGTGCGGTCAGTTTTTTTCACTTTACCCACTAATGTATTACCTAAATTGCTTGATTTTTTTGTCATTTACATAAAACAATATATCATCATTTAGACCGTTATGATTCCATCTTTGATGCTTAAATGAGAAGCTTATTAACATGTCTACAGTTTATTGTAAATTCTTATCTGTAATGTTTCATTGTTTATATTTTTATAAATATTTACAACTGTTATGTAATAGCTGTGACGGACTGCATTCAATATAATTATAAACAATCATTCGTTATGCACTCTTTTGAAGAAAGAATGCCATACTAATTAGCAGACGGTCGATCTTTCGTCATAACATAACATTGGTTTCGCGCACAAACAAGCCATATTTGTGTTTTAAATTTATTCAAATTTATAGAATGTTTGTTGTTAAAACAATAATGTCTGTGTTTGATTTGCGTTGGAAAGATGTTTTTTGTGAAAAGTTAATTTCTGTATCAATTTGATTTGCGTAAGACATAGGATGTTTGTTGTTAAAACATCTTGATACCTAATATTGATTTGCGTGGGACAGATGATGTTTTTGTGAAAAGTTAATTTCTGTATTTGATTTACGTAAAACATAGGATTTTGATGTGAAAGCTTAATTTCCGTACTTGCGTGGGACATATGATATTGGTGTTAAAATTTAATTTCTGTATTTGATTTACGTAAAACATAGGATTTTGATGTGAAAGCTTAATTTCCGTACTTGCGTGGGACATATGATATTGGTGTTAAAATTTAATTTCTGTATTTGATTTGCGTGGGACAGATGATGGTTTTTCTTTATTTGATTTGCGTAAGACATAGAATGTTGCTGTGAAAACCTAATTTCTGTACTTGCGAGGGACATAGGATATTTCTGTTAAAACTTCATTGTTTGATTTGCAATGAACATTGGATGTTGTTGTGAAAACTTAAATTTACCATTCGTTACATTAATTTCTGAACTACTGGGATTTGCCAAGCAGACACTTGTTCGATGTTAAGACGTTTACTGTTGTCAAAAACTAAACATAATGACCTTTGATCCTACTTTTTCATTTACTGGAAAAAAAATACCCACAAAAACACACACACAAGTGACAAACAAAAAGGTCAATGTTTTAATATATTTAATCGTAAAATGTCTTTTATCTAATGTCGTTTAGTCATTATAAGTATGCCTAAAATACCTATGGCAACGCCACATCGGCTCAGATAATAAACGGTTTTAAGCTTCTCACAAGAATTGCATAATGTTAGAATAACCTTGAAGGTGATACTGGTCCTTGAAAAAATAGTAAAGAAGCGTAGAAAGTTAACGTTCTCTGTGACTAATGAGCTTGAAAAAAAGACCAACACGCGACTGTGGTGAGGAATGACCTAATCTTGTTTTTGGAAAGAAAATTTGGTTGCAAATCTAGGAATAGTTAACTATGGTTAGCGCAATCTATTAAAATTGAGTATGTTTGTTTTGGTACATATATTGTTCTACGATTAACAGTGTTTTTGGATATGCCTTAAGCACACCGTATTACCGGCGCCAGTGATGGCAGATCACTGCAGTGATGGCAGATACCCGAAATTTACTGCTCGGTACATGTAGATTATAAATTTGGTTGGTATTATTATATTACACAAATGCGGCCCATTCCATTGCTATGAAACTATTTTCCATTGACTGGAGATACTATTAGGTAATTTTGGACTCGTTTTTTC